ACGGGCTGCGGGCCCTCGGGATGCCAATGCGGCGGCCCTACAGGCGCCGGGCGTGCATCTCTCCTGTTCCTGCAATTGTCAACCACCGCTGGTGCAGTTACGCCCCGGAAACGACAGCAGCGCACTCCACAGAGTAAGTTACCTGTCCTCGTCAGGGTTTCTTCCTGCAATCCAGCCACGCCTCAGTTACAGATGATCGTTCGAAAGGTATAAAAACAGGTAAAAGAAGACAGATGATCGAACACCGGAATGATTTGCATTTTATTATGAGCTTTCGGACTCTTATCGGAGTCCATCGTCAGAGATGGGGAGCAGCAACAAAAGAGTGGCTGGTTATAGCCTGTGAACAAACAGTTAAAATTTGAACGTGTAAAAAATCGATAACTGTTAGGTTTGGGTGCCAAATGGCTACGTCACCACCGAAAATGGGGTGAGTATGCAGGATGTAAAGCCAATTACTTATGACGGAAGAGTCCAAAAGCTCAGAATAAAATATAAATCCTTCAGCTGTTCAATCATCTGTCTTCTTTACCGATACAAATACCTGGAACGCGAACGTTCTCTTTCATTCAGAGGCAAAAGACTCATTTGGATTCTAAGGGTTGGGTTTAACCGCTTTACTTCTTTAAAGCTGCCAGCCGTGAGGTGTTTGCTAGGGATTTTATCATCTGTCAGACGGACTGCCAAATCTAACATTTGGGAAATAACTTGAGGTCTAGCATTTAGGCTATTTAATTTATCAGATGTTGCCAGTGAATTTTAAAAGATTATGGCTTCATCTCCCTTTGTTTTTAATGACCTCCGCACAGGATTGAGGGTCCTAAACCCGAAGAGTGCGCCTAAATGTCTTAACGTGACGAGTTTACGATAATAACAACTCTTGGAGGCAACTGTTAACTTTGCCTTCCGTTGACACGAAGTACCTCCAGTAACCAGTGGCCGTCGAGAACGAAAGTTTGTAAATTCTGTCAAACGAGCATTACCCACCGGGGTCCTAATCGCTGAGAAAAACAGTTATTGTTGATTTAGATAGAATGTGCAGAATACGTTAAGCTCTTCAAAACATGCATAGAAGCATAGTGGTTTAGCCAGCATCATCCCGGTAGCACCAGTAAAGAGCTGTCCTTAAATATTATTGGAATAGACTTCCTCGGTACTTTAAAATAATTTCATTTTCGCTAATGGATCCATGTAATAATTTCTAATGTGCATTTAAATTACACGCGGCTCAGTTTAAAATGATGAGGAGCAGGAGGAAGAGGTTAGTGTTGTTATTGATGGTGATGAGGAGGAAGGTGGTAATGTTGATGATGAAAGTGGCTACGGCGGCGACGGTGTCGAAAACAGCAATGACGGCGATCGCTTTTATGATGGTGCTCGTTAGCAAGGGGAGAGGTTTCACGACGATCAAAGTCACATGAAAATAAAAGTACTTCCAAAACTGTGCGTTTGCTGTAAGAGTTAATGAGCTAATGTTTCCAGTATTTGAATAAGGCAAAGATTACGAAATATGCAGCACTGAATCAAAATGTTTTGACTGCTTACAGTCACCGCATATTATGAATACAAACTGTTCAATAGGAAAGCGTGATAGATAAATAAAAACAAGAAAATTTGAACTGCCATTTTAAAAGTCAATGACGGAAGTAACCCTTTCAACTCCCTACGCCCCACATATGACTGACTGATGTTCCATGCCGCATAGCCTTAATCCCGTTTGACGAGGTTTCTCTGTAAGCACAAACTTGCTCACGTATAAAAAGTCTTCCCCCCCAGCTTACATAATGTTTCCCAGCAAGTCAGCTTAAAATAGCCTGTCTTTTTTAACCTATCAATTTTGATCCATCTACACTGTTTTCTTATTATTGTTATTATCTGATTAAAATGCAACGACCGTCAGCAGTTTAATAAGACGTTAAACAAATTCATTAAATTTATACATATTTCATTGTATCTTCATTACTCAAATTTATTCTGAGCAAATGGTGTTTCACTTTTCCCATATTATAATGTCTTCCATTTATGTCGTTGAGAATATAATTTTTCTTAGAATTTTGACTGCCCTTAAACCGCTAGAGAAGCCATACCTTTTAGGCACTTATACTCGAAGGAATCCCAACATATGCGAGCGGTTACTCTTGAACTGTATAAGAATAACCCAAGGATACATCGTATATTTTAATTTAGCGATTCACGGTTAATCGACCGACGCGTGATTAAATACATGGCTCTAAGTGGGCCTCGATAGCTCAGTTTGATAGAGTGTTGGCCGTGATAAAGCCTCCCACTGCTCACATAGGTTCGAATACCTCCGAGGTCGCTGAATATTCCACTACTAGGTCAATCGAACTTTATTTTTTTACAACGTACGGCAAACCACAGCAGTCGAAAATTGGTTCATGGCATCCATATTAGATGTTACAGTATATTCCCTATTCCTGACATAATTTCACTCCACCCTTCTAGATTACAACGCTAGGATTTGAGAACTGTGCCCTTCCGTGCCGATCTGTATACTTCCAAACAGAGGGTGACCGGAGATTCGTCGAGTTCTGGCTCGGTCTCTGGTCAGTACTTTGTGCAGTATCGACTCTGATCACTGTGCTAACATTTGCTACGACGCCGAACCGGTTTCAGTACCCCGGACAACCCATTATCTACTTGTCTATCTGCTACTTCTTCGTCTCTGTTGGCTATATAATCCGCGTTGCGCTGGGACACGAGGCTGTAGCCTGCACTTCCGTGGCGTCAGCAATGACTCCACTGGCTACCGGCAGAACCGCGGAAGTGGTTGAAGCCGCTATCGACTCGTTCTCCCTTATCCAGCCAGTCGCCGATGCTTCGGCTCATCTAGATGCTGCTCCTATGGCCAAAATCCTGCAGTTCTCACTGTCTGGTCAGGCTGCCTGCACGGCTGTCTTCCTTCTGACCTACTTTTTCGGGATGGCCGCATCGGTCTGGTGGGTTGTTTTGACAATCACCTGGTTCTTGGCTGCCGGCATGAAGTGGGGAAACGAGGCCATCTCTAAGTACACGCAGGTAAGCTTAGAGTATATGTAGTTCTGCTACTCCGATACAAATTGGCTGTGATTTTTGTTTTTGTCTGAATTCTGATGGTCGCACTTGCTTGTTGTTGTAAATCGGAGTAGACTGCTGTGGCTTAGGCATGCGCTTGCGTGAGTTCAAGCTGCCCTTCTGCTCATCTAAGGTATATTTTCAACCTATAAAACTCACAAAGCTCGCTTCCTTAAGAGAGGAGCGGAAGTCCTTAAGCCAAATATCAGCAACAGATACACGAGATAAATAATCAGAAATTTATCTCCACTCAAGTGATTGTCCGCGGAATGGTGGGTTTCTAATTGCTCTTGGGGCATTCACTCCTCCTACCACCAGAATTAACTAACATGCATGTGGGTATCCTGATTATCCCCTGTGAACAAATGATGACGTTGTGCAGGCCCACCACAACGAAACGTCAAAGTATCCTGCCTTTTAATATAAACGTTTTTCAAAGGACCCTTACGGTTTGATGCCTATATATGTTAATTAGTATATCTACTTTGAAGTCAAAGTGTACATTTGTCACAAACGTATGTCTGCTTTCTATTTTCCAGACGTGCACAGACATTATTGGACGTTGAGGGAAGTACTTCTTCCCAAAAGACCCAGTAGAATTCGATAGTTAGCCGTTTGTTTCAGTACTGTTTCACGTGAAATTTTTAAATGCGGGGCAATCCGGTGGACTACAATACAACTGCGTGCTAATATCCATCGAGATTAACTGTTCGATAGAGGCCCTAGAATTATCAATAAAAAGTGAGGAAAACGTATTTTTGGCTCCGAGATAAAGAGCAGCATGTAAAACTTGCACGATGGTTTACGTTACCTTTATAATACAGTAGAACCGAGGAATTCCGATGAGACACAGTCGAAAATAATGACTTATCTTTCCAGAAATTAAGAATAAGCGGACATAAAAAAGTTCAAAAGAAAGATTAAAATAAGTATACACCTGCAGTTATTAGGAGGCATTTCTTAAATGATTACGGATCGAAGAGGTGGCAATATTTCCGTCGGCCATATCTGCCCTACTTGAAGTGCTTTGCAGTATAAAATTTCATTTCGTAGAGGAGACACTGTCTACCCCATGCCTAGTTATACTGTACCTATTTTGGGCACAAAGCACTCCTTATCCATTTTTGACCCACTTATAATGATTGGGGTATGCATGAGCAAAAGGGCGTCAGTTAACATATGACAAATAAATTAGGACATGGGGACCGGAAATATTCGTCCATTGAGCAGTCTACTGTTCTGCCATATTTTATTTCTGCGACAGTAAGTAAAATTACGAATTATTTTAATAAAAGACAATCTGCTAAGACGGGAGTTCCCGGTCACTGAGGCTGCACGGTTCTGATAGCTGCGTTCAGCCCCAGCGTACTTAGATGTTTTACTCTTAATGGCTGATTGGCAGTTATCAAGACATGGTTCTGACGGCTTCCCTAGAAGGCGTGCTTGTTATTATAAATATACCAACAAACAGATATACCTTTAATTCTGGAGTCTTGCACAGCATCGCGTAGGATAAATGTAAAAGGATAAAATCATTGACTTCAGGTTACCCTACCAATATTATAACCTGGACTAGATGACCTCATAGTGAATTAGGATTGGGAACAAATCAGGAAGAAGTATACTGAGCAGACCTGAAGAAGCCGTTGCAACGCCAGACTTGTTCAGATTTGATGCTCCCAATTATACAAAAGCATTGGGATATTTTTTAAGTGTCACTTTTTAACGAATCTTCTGAGGGCTCGATCCCCCTGCCATCAAATTTGTATACTTCAGATGGAACTGAATTAATAGGCTTCAAGTTTTAATCCTGAACAATGGACAATATGACGGAGGCACATTGATCCCATCTACGTTCATTTGCCAGCTGCATTTCGCATCCTTGACCAATGGTCGAGAACAAATATTTATCTAGCCAAACTTCAAAGTGATCCGCTAAGTAATATTTGACGTCGATTCCAAGGGCGCTGAAGCAGTGGCTTTTTCGGGCTTATTTGATGACACATAAACCAACAATACCATCAACAACCTCTGCACATAAGTTCCCAAGGTGCAAGTTCCACAAACGCGCTACAACCGATAAGTTACCTGCGACATAATAGAGAGACTCCTTTGATGGTTTCCTATAAGTCAGCTCTTGTCAGAAGACGCTGAAGTAGGACTCATGTTATCTTGATTTTTACATGTCACTGATCAGTCGATTTGTTCTGATTCAGGGGACCCTTATCCACGTTTGGTTGGTCGGAACACGGATAGAGCCGAAACAGTTGTCGTCTTACTTTCACCCCTCAGTTTATGCAAACTCCTAATCAATACCTATACAGTTCCGTGCAATGCATCTAAAATAGAAATCCTGTCATCGGTGTTTTATTTGTTTCAAATCTCACCGCTGATTTTCCTGTCGCCCCCCACAGATATTTCATTTCATCTCCTGGGTCCTGCCGGCTATCCAGACAGGGACTGTGCTAATGTTTCGAGCCGTGGACGGCGATCCTGTTGCGGGCCTTTGCTCCGTGGGCGCCACTAACGACGCAAACCTCGCCTTCCACGTCCTCCTTCCTCTAGTTGTCTACACCATCATTGGGACCTTCTTCCTCTTCGCCGGCTTCGTCGCACTTTGCCGGATCCGAAGAGTAATCAAATTCCAGGTGCCCATCGGTGTGCGCACTGACAGGCTGGAAAAGCTGATGATTAAACTTGGCATTTTTGGCTTACTCTACACGGTACCAGCGGTCGTTGTGATTGCATGTCTGTCCTACGAGCTGCAGCAACGGTCGCTGTGGCAACTCGGTGTTGCCTGCAGTTGTCAATTTAAGCAATCGGCAGACCTTCCAAGTGAACAGGTG